CAGATCGATAAAGTTACATATTGTCATACGTTTCAATCTAGACAAATGATCGATAAATACATCTGACGATAACTAACCTATCATACTACTGTTACAAGATTTCTGGTTTTCTACATTTCTAATCATCACGAAGTGATTGTTGATTCAGTTGGTAGGTTTCTTGAGATGAGTTGAATTCGTAGTTGATAGCCATCAGAGATTGACATCTATTGACGGTAAATTTGAAGACCAGAGAGCAAGGTAGAGCAATTTTGTTTTAATAAGGAACAATTTAGGAATAGATAATATGACCTCAAAAGTGATCAAACTAAAAATTGATAATTTAGGTCATAACCCATTGAATTCATTTAAGTTAGCAATGAGACAATGATCGCCGTTTGGCAGTGGATAATCGTTGCTTTCTATCTAGAATTGACTAGAGTTAGACTATTAACCTTAACATAATGATCTATAGATTCAGCACTCACCACGAAAAAAAATATCGGATTCAACTTTTAATGAGGTTGTAGATGAACATTCCAAAACAATCCAATTCTATAGTGAGATTGTTGTCCAGTACTTACTGATTTTCAATGGTTCCTCAACTGATGTCAATCTTGCTAAGATATACACGGGATTACTCAATTTTTTTTAAAAAATTTAAAGTACTACTAGTAACAGTAACAGAGACTGTTTTTCCCCTCATAACTTTTACCTTTTACTAACTGGTTCTCATTATAGATAATCCCCTAATTATCTGTGCTTCACTGAGTTGTACTGTTTCACATTGTTCAGTTTGAATAATAAGTTTTATCAATACTTTGACTTTGTTCTCTGTTAGCAGCTAATTATTGAATATTCTATGTTAGACGTACAGTTCATTCAGGTTCAAGTTTGTTCTTGTTGGAAGATTCTCACTTGTTTGTCAATAGAATTTATCGCAAGCAAACTAAAAACCGAATACTTGATCATTTTTATCAAGATATAACAAAAAACTATCCACGAAATAATCAATGATATTTTTCACGAAATATTTCACACAAAATTGTAAGTTGGAACACTTATTTCTCTTCTAGTGAACATATACAGTATGATTGACTGATGCTTTAAAGTTGAATTTATTGATTTCTGTGGAAATCTTCAACTGGCAGATGGGTTAAATAACTCCACCTATAGTTCTTCGAGAGCTAATATTGGTCCCAAGCCCCGCTAAAGGATGAAGGTTCGGCATGGAGTCAGCAACCCAATCCCGTAGAAAACAAAATTACTGAAACGGCAGGTTCACGAAGAGGGAGATGCTCTACTGACTCAGGGAGTTGCTTTGATGCTGTCCAAAGAAGCACAAATGCACATATAGGATGGAAATCTCATGGACCCAGAATCACAAAAAAACATCATTCAAAACAAAGGAGGAGGGAATCACAATGAATGTTATCCAATGTCATGCACCCACCAATCATAGCAATGACGACGATAAAGATCAGTTCTATGAGAGGCTGCATTCGATCATAAACTCAACGAATTCAAGATAGCTCTCAGCAACACGTGCCACACATTACAAGATCAACTCAAAGGAGAAGGAACTAGTATGGAGGACAACTGGGAAGGGATCAAAGAAGCACTAACATCAGCGTGTCGGGAAGTTCTGTGCCTTCATAAGCATAATCGTAAGGAATGGATTTTTATCGAAACCCTAGACAACCAGTGTGGCAGAAGTTTCAACATAAACAAGGGAAAAACCAAGATCCCCAAATACAACACAGAGAACAGTACATACATTTCGAAAATTATCAAAATGCATCACGAGGCAAGTGCTCACTTGGAATGCTGAAGGGAAACGAAAAAGAGGAACGCCGAAGAACACACTGCGTTGGGAATTGGAAGCAGAAATGAAAAGGATCAATAGAAACTACAAAGGATTGCCTAGGACAGAGTTGGATGAAGGATGCTGGTGGGCGGCTTGTGCTCTTATACGAGGGATGAAACGGTAATTATGATAAAACCATCCAAGTATTTATGTATTCATGATAGTTTACGAGTCCCAAATAGAACGAGACGCGCTTTCTGTATTCCATTGTTAGTTAGACCAACTTTGCTAAAATGTAACCAGACATTCAAATAGTCTTCAGTTTCATCCCTTTGGAAACATAGCAACACTCCTGGTTATTAATTAATGAACAAGTAAAACTGTCTTGATCAGTTGATTTTGCTCCTTGCCCTACTCGATCATACGATATCACGCTGCTACATCTGTCTCATTAAATGACTACAAGACAGCCATTTTTTCAAAACTAGGATAACACATTTTAGAAACTCAGACAACTACAACATAGTAACGGGTCATTAAACTGACCTTAGATAAAAAAATCGATCACAATTTCACCGTAGTTATATTTTCAATAACAAGGTTAAAGGTCAACACTGATTTAACTTATAACCATATTACGGAATCTCTATATAATTGCTACTTAATAGTAAAGACAAATACTTCCGTTTGGTGTAGAAGAATATTAGGAATAATAATAGTGAACGAAAATCTAATATCAGCTACACAAGTTCTGAGTATGTTGATTCAGTAACCTAATGGATAATGGCCCTCGTTGTTGTAAAATGATGCTTTGTTCATTAAAATATCAGTTGAGACACATTAGAAGAATGAGATTTTACCAACATATAATATGCAAACGAAACGACGCGCAGTGGAGAAGGCATGTGAGCCAACTCCATTTAGTCAAGCATTAATCAATATTTATAGTCACACAAAAATAAGTTACAGACATGTGATGAATAAGATAAATGTACACACATACGCTCATATAAAAACAGTCAAGATTGATAAGCGAATAATCAACAAGTTCAAAATGTGACTCAAGAAGAATGAATAGATTGGCCTATCAAAAAGCTAGAATAAGGTATATGGGCTTAACATAATAACCGACAATGCATATACACTGAAGATATCTAACAGAAGGGTTTACGATGCATACTTTTTCCAAGGTGGGACTTATCAGCAGGATATACATACTGTTTTGTTGATGTTCACACTCGCGGTTCCAAGCACCAGAACGTTCATCAGCTTGTTCAATGAGTAAATTTTAAATTTACGAAAATGGACTCACTACCACTCGTTTATTATTTATCGCTCATTGTTGTAATGTGAAATGCAACAGCGACTTAAATCAATAGACACCTGTGTTACATTCTATGTTGTTCACGACTGGATACAACTCTTCATAACATGAACATAATCCAAGGTTAAGGTTTGTTGATTTATGATGTATAAAGCGCGTACATACTGAAGCAGAAGTTTATAAGCTTTTCTACTGTATTGATTAATTATCTCTACTTTTTTATTCTAACGATTACTGGTACCACAGTGATTCATTAGCGTCGTAATGTAACTCAGTGTGATATTAGACAAATGTAACCGAAGTGAAATCAAAGGGATTTGTTTTACCATCAATGGTCTATTTTTCCCTTGTTTATGATTCTGATTGATAATTCTAAAATCTACTTTACTGAGACTTTACACTAAACGTCACTAATTAGATGTGAATAATAATTGGAAGGATGAATGAAATTACATGACATGTGTTCTCATGCTGATGTATACGAGAGTAGTTAAAAAAATAATACCTTAAATCTAGCATTGCATAGATGTATGAAATCATTAACAGCTGAACGACTAGAGTATTATTTGGAAACTACCGAAGCCAATGTAGGCAGGCAAAAGTAAGGGAATCAAATTTTCTAGGGCGAGTGCAGACAATGGATAAAGAAGAAGCGTTGTTGCTTTAGTGATATGTAATTTCGCGAAATACAGTTAGTAGTGTCAAATCAAATCACTGTGGTCTGCCTTGAATAAGTGCGTATTATCTAGTTGCCATTCATCTTTGTTAGAAAATTTCGTTAGTTCACGATAACTTCCTAACTTTTTATCATGGGGTGATTTACAGGAGAGAATCCTGTTGATATGCTAGTTATGTAGCCGAAAATCAAACTAATGAAAATTTTCATGAATATCGTAAAATTATTTTCACCTGAAATTTAAGTTGTTCATTCAATTAATGAATTGTTTTGTTTCAGCGACCTAACTTCCCTGATATTATAAACATGTACCTTCGCTTGAATATAATAAATTGTTTACAAAAATTTCGCAGATGATTGCTTTCTCTTAAATACTATACTACAAAAATCGAAACAGTGAAATATGTTTAATGTATCTCTGGAAATTAATAAGAAGCATCGACAGATATTTAAACACAGTTTGCATTTCTCGCACCAAATAACTAATCATGAGGTTAGTCTAAAATGAATTATGTGTAAAATTGTACAATTCACAACTATTTACCTTTGCTGGAATATACTGAATATTGTCACTGTTGTTACTCCATCTATTAAATGACATGTTTATTCAGTAGTGTAGTTAACTGTGGTGACTTAAGTAATAATAAGTAGAGTTTTCTATACATAGAAAGAATATCGATTAAAACGTTCTTCTTATCCGTTGAATTAGGTATATGCCTAAGAAAACCGTACAATGGACTCATGATCTCAACTATTAAAATTACTATAATATCTACAAAATCCCTTCTGATACAAATATATTCGCCAAAATAAGATTCAAACCTAATGATGACCCCAAATTATGTGCAGCGAGGATGTCTGAGCATCATACAACGGTTTCCATTTCAAACTGAGAAAATTTGTTGTTTTTTACCCTTAAACAATGAAAAAGCTCGAATATCAAAAAGAGAATCAGTTTCCTTGACGCTATGAACATCATGCGTTCAGAAACGTTAAAAAATGTACATCAGTACATTCTCACAAAATAACTGCAATAGGCATTTCTGTCATTTTGTTGACAATTTTAATCATTAATGGTACGCATCGACTACTACTAAGGACTAATTAATACAGAGAAGAAGCGATGTACACTGAGTCTTAAAACTTCTGAAATTCAATTTTCTACTCATTCAGATATTATAAATATATTATCACTTTGATGAAAATAAAAAATTCATTCAGATGCTCAATATATTTGAAATTATCAAGTTAAACTTCAGTAATGCAATGATATATTTATCATTCGTTGGGAAAGAAATGCAACAAACTGTGAATTATCGACCACTGAAGTCGTTGACAAATATTTACGTACATGACAAAATTTTGCACTGATAATTTAAGAAAAAAACCGAGTATATCCATACAAATATGTAAGAGTTATGATGAAACTATTACTCATGGTCGACATCGACCCATGAAACGAGGATATAGGCAAACATCTCGTATATGATCTTTGCCTAAAAGCCAAGTACAAAATCGTTCAAAACCTAATCCATAGCCACCATGTGAACAAGTTCCAAATTTGCGCTAAAGTTGAGAAGAAACACAAACAAACAAAATGGTGATGACAGTAAACGCTATAAAGCATTCTACATACGAAATAAATATTTTGAAGTATAACGTAGTCAACACTAAACGGCTAATTTTCACCGTGATACCTCTGGAAGAAGCACTCACCTTTGATAAAGTTAATTCACTACTTTTGAGTGAACATAAGAAAGCAATAACTAATTTGAAAAAAGCACATAAATAGCGATATGACCAAGATAGGTGGATTCCAGAGGTAATCAAACAGTGATAGACTTATTAGATAGAGCTTGTGGGTTGGTCATACTAATTCTGATTCATCACAGTTTACAAGGGTACACAAAATCCTTTATTGAAAACCATGAAGAAAACAGCTCAACTACAACAGTTTCTAAAATGTTTTTTTTTTCATAATTGTTCGATGCTTAATTATATATTTAGGGAGTAGAAAACACTGAGAAAGTCATACTAGTATTTACCCGATAGTCCACGGTATTGATTAAATCTCTATTACGGGTTATACAACACAAATACACTGATGGACGCGCTATTATGGTTATATCCATTGACCTAAATGTGAAACTAAGCCATGTCGACCAGGCAAGTCCATTGGGATTGAAATGATGATTAGCATAAGGAGTGAATCGGAAGAAAATAAAAGGTTACCTAACAAAAAGATGTCACCAATCAATGAAGATGGTACATGGTTTAGATGTGTTCGTTCTTTATATTCCTTTAAACCTTGAATTATTTTATACAATCGTTCCCTTAATTCATTTTCTGATTTCTAAGTTCGAAGATGCAATTGTTTCAGCTTCTTTGATTTCTATCTTGTTAACTGTGTTGATGTGAAGTGTAACAATTCGGGCTGACTAATATTTGAATCAAGTTCTATGTAGCGTTCACGATTGATTGATCGGAAAAAGAATAGAAACATCCATTCAACACTTTTCTGATGATTGATCACGATAATCTAACGTCAAATATACCGAAATATCACATCGTTGATCTTCTAATAATCAACAAACTAGACAAGGGAAATACAGTGACAATATACTATAGTTAAGAGATAGAAAAATGGATCTTGTTCATACACTAAACGCATTATATTCAACAAACTACCTGATCTGTATACCAATAATAAGGGGTTGGATCTATTTCCTCTAACTGATATCCTTTGAGAAGATCATCAATATTATCCATACGCATTGATCCACCAACTAATTCACCAACGCCTGGGACAAGTAGATCAACCTGAGAAATTAACAGACACAGTGATATTGAAATCAATGAAGCCAAAAGATGTAAATTATTTAATATAGTTATTTTGGTTTGGATTGCTTAAAGTGTATACGCTACCGACAATTGAAGTCAATCAAACTGACAGAATGTGACAGTACTTTACTGAAGAGGATATTACAAATTCATTCAGTGAAATTACGCACTATTAGATATTATGATTAAATAATTTGAAGGTATTGTGTCCCCATGGGACATGGATATGAAGATGGTGCACAGTTCAATTCCGTGCAAAGATTTGTAGACCAGGACGAAACAGTTGTTCAGTGCATTCACAACAGATGTTCATTTATGATGTCAAACTAACTACTGTCTGTAAATAAAAAGTGACCGACAATGTTTGATCTTTAAACACCACTGTGATTCATTTTGACTATGGTTTTTGTTATATTAACACATACATATCGGTACAAGGAGGCACCGAATACATATGCACTACACAAATCTCATTTGATATGTGTGAGGGCTGTGATACTGCCTGGGTGCCCAAACCGAAGCAGGTGGTTTTCTTAGAGAGCCACACCCCGAGCCTTCGACCTGATCCACAAGGCAGTGGAGCATCGTAAGGAGATGCAGTCCCATGGTAGCCGGTGACTAACGATTGGTCCATACGCCATTTGTTCCTTTACGATACTGGAGCCCATGTGCACCATTGGTTTGGGATCTGGTTATAGCGCCAGACATTCGCTTTTCGTCCCCTCATTTTCCTAAACAACACCCGTGGTGCGAGAAGGCAGTGAGTAGGACTTCCCTGGCAGAGGCTATATACGCTTGACCGTGTGAGAGTATTTCGAGAGGGAGGGCAGGCCCACCCCACTCTCGGCTATACCAGGGCATTTGGGGGCATTTTGACTATGGTGTTGTCTATCTTTGTTTAACGACCAATCCATAAAGACTTTATCTCGCGTCATGTAAGTATTTGATTATTGTTCAAGGTTATTTTTGTGTTCTACTATTTACTTTTTCTTGACGGACCATGTGGAAGTATGGTGTAAGAGTCTATTGAATTTATTCATTCAACTGATTAAACAGCAGTAACGCAAATGCATGCCAATACAGTTTCAAATAAGTTATTTTCGATTAACCTTAACCAATTGAATATCAAAAATGTAAGGTTTATTTTAAAGCTGATTGAACAAGATAGGGATTTTTGAATTACACAGAACTACTTACCGAGTCAGTCAGACGTTGATCACCTTTAGTTCGCAACATATAGAAAACTTTTAATCCAGCAGGAAAATTGGTTAACAGGACCGGTTCCCCAATTGTGTCTACAAGTCGACGTTCAGGAGCCTCAGGAATATCATCACCATATTGGAAAGGTGTAAGATCTTCTTTTGTAATGCCTAAATTATTTAAATGAACAATTGCATCTTCGTATTTTAGTCGTTTAAAAGGACTTCTAGGTATTTTAAATTGCTGAAAAGGAGAATCAACCGAAATAAGAAAATGTAAATCTGATCCTTGTGAATATGAACAATTTAAGCTGCATAAAACTAACAAAGTCGTCAATCTGGCACATTTAATAGTGTATGTTTCCAAATTCAGTCAATTAGTGATACTCACCACACAACCACTTAGTGTCTAAACTTGACGCTCTCTCCATAATGTTGAAATGATTATTGTGGTTTCAATCTTTGGTGGGGTTGCGGGTACTTATTGTAAAAATTCGTATTTCAAATGATATCATACAAACAATTTATCCAAATATAAAAAAGCAAAGTTTGTAACTATAATCATGACAAAATGTATAATTTTGAATCAATCACAGGAGAAAGAACGATATCATGGAATATTCGCTAATGAGTTATGGACATTGAAAAACTAATATGTGCCAATTTAAGAATGCAGCAATACTCATCAGCTCAACCAAGTTTACATACGTACTAGTCTATACAGACTAATTTTATAATTAAACGATGAAGTAATTTGAACATCCTACTCCTAGCAGGTTGTAAGTGTGAACACTGTTGAAATATTTTCAATTATTTTTTCCTAACTTAATTGGAAGAGTTTTGTGGAGATTGGCTTAATTTGTAGGTTGTATTCGCTACAGAACAATCTCGGTTGGGATGCCATTGAAAATTGTTTTATCCGAGTATGAGACTCTTCAGTGTTCGGGACTCAGGACACCATCACGAGGAAAGCTTAACTATTAGAACCACTGGGTAGAGCCATTTAATAGTACAGTTTCAGTATCATCCGGTTTGCGGTACAACGATTATTCAAAATTATTGTTGAAGACTCTTTACTCCCAACCTGTTAGAGCTCCATCAGTCACGACTTAGAACTAGAATTTCAGAAATATCTCAAAGTAAGTCACCAGTAAGCTAACTATTGTCGTCTGGTGAAGGTTGATTCGATTTATAGTTGTACTCATCAGCCAATGATGTAAACGACCTCTGAAATGAACTATCTCCACAAATATCTAGTTTTATTATATGAGAAAACTGAAGAAAAAAACAAAACTATTTTGGAGCGAACAATGAAAACAAAAACTTCTCATAATATATTATAAATATCATCAATATTATCAAGAGCAAAACTAACTGGGTTCACATCTAATAACAGATCACCGGATTTTTTCATGATGCGATCACAAACATCAACAACTAAATCTTCAATCCGTTCTAATAAACCATTCAAATCAATAAATGGACATTCTGCTTCAACGTGATTATACTCAGATAAATGGCGCCGAGTTCTACTCTGAAAACATCAAAAGAAAATTGAGCTAGTTATAGACTTACAACGGAATTATATATACATGCAGTAATACCTTTGAAGTAAAAAGGGAGTAAAAGAAAGCAGTTTGTCAGTTGGTAGAGCATGTCAGTAACTACAATAAGCTCCTAAGTAATGTGTAGAAGTTTTAGGTATCGAATATACACCAATATTTCTCAGGAAATCATCATTAAGTATCGTCTAATTTTTCAATAGTAGTAAACCAATAATTGGAAAATTTCTAGGAGCATATTTATCGGATGATTGTTTAGCCAAGATTCTCTTGTGGCTCAGTGATAGTGAAGTGGAACACACCATAACAGTAGAACCTGTATAATCAAGTTTTAACAACGGCACTTGGGAAGCTTTAGATGAATGTTTCGGGTACAAATACAAATGTCTCCGTATCTCAGCGAATTTATCGGCAAGCAACAACAAACTAGAGAATAAAACAAAATAGTCGGAACAGTTAGCAACGAGTAGCGAGTTCCTTGACAAAACTTGCAGAAACTGTGTGACAGGAAATGGTATTTGAACATTTATCTCAAGAATCACAATCCTTAGAGGATATGGGAACTATGATTAAACATTATAATATAATAGAAAGGTAATAATATTAGATTACGTAATATGGATGATAACAATCAGAGATTGTATGTGTGAATAAAAAGCTCTGTTAAATTAATAAGTTAACAACCGATTATAATGTGAATGGAGTAAGATAATTAAAATGTTTTGTTACAATAATTAACGGCAATATAGGAGTTAAATGAAGTAAAGTTATGTAAGGAAACAATAATGGGTAAAATCATGGGGATATGATATGCCAACGTTTTGGTAGGTGGGTGTCCAAAAGAGGCCACAACAGCTTAATCCAATAATGTAAGCGAATTCAATGTTTCATCTTGTGATGGTTATAAATTTCCGCCTGCCACTATATCAAATTATGTTGATGCCTGACATATGGTGATATTAATCTATATGAGAGTCTAAACATTTTCTACCATTGCGTTTGTGCTAAAATGGGTGCTATTTCAAGTTGTATTCAAGGTAATCAATGTTTAGTAGCTGCTAAAAGAAATACCAAACAGGTTCAATTAACCCATGGTTATTATAAACAACCAAAATGCGTACATTTAATTGCAAACAGTTGTCCATAGTCTGTAATAATGAAACACAAGATGCTATTTCTGGTACGGCCGAGAGTGGGGAGAGTCCGCTCTCCCTCTCGAAATGCTCTCAAATGGCCACGCGTATATAGCCTCTGCCAGGGAAGTCCTACTCACTGCCTTCTCGTGGAGGGGGTGTTGTTTACAAAAATGAGAGGACGAAAAGCGAATGTCTGGCGCTTTAACCGGACCCCAAACCAATGGTGCACATGGGCTACAGTATCCTGCGGGAACAAATGGCATATGAACCAATCGTTGGTCACCGGCTACCATGGGACTGCATCTCCTTACGATGCTCCACTGCCTTGTGGGTCAGACGTTCAGGTCAAAGGCTCGGGGTGTGGCCCCCTAAGAAAACCACCTGCTTCGGTTTGGGCACCCAGGCAGTATCACAGCCCTCACACAAATCAATTGAGATTTGTGTGGCGCATATGTATTTGGTGCCTCCCTGTACCTATACTTATGTGTTAAAATAAATAATAATAAAATAAATTTCTGGTAATGATTGTCTAGAACAACGTAAATCTTCAATGAATCTCGAGACACCCTGAACAGTCATTGATAGATATGCAGCTCCAGTACTACTGGTCATTATTGACTCAGCAAAGATGAAGTTATAAATGTTACTGAATGGTGTTTAACTTTTAAACAGGCTCGATTCAGTATGAAACCAGACAATCATGCACGTAGTGATCTTGCGTTCTTACCCCAACAATGTAATGAGTGGCAAATCGAGAAAGAACAATTCCCTTTAGCATATAATTAATGCATGTGAATGGGTCCACTAGATAACATCCTAAGAGAATATCGATCGATCGCTAATCAGACCAGGACCTTGGCCATCTGTATTTTTATGGGGCATATCTTCTGCTATATTGATTGAGACGGGAACGGTTTACTTAGACTATGTGTGGACTACCGTTAATTTGACCTTATCACTGAGATTTATTCTGTTCCCCTCAGATAGACAGGTCGATAGTTATGCAAGGTTTGTTAGTTCGGGAAATATATTTTCAATACAAACTGCGCAAGCGCGAACAAATTCATGAGCTCTGAATACTGTGCACAACCAACAGTATTTAAATGGGAATCTACAACAGCACTAAATTAGTGGCAAAATAGAAAACAAGGATTGTTGGTAAACACTTACTTTTTCAGCTCGATAGCTACGGGTTATGCAGAAGCAGTCACCTACGGCAGGTATACATGTTTCTAAATACAACTGAGACGATTGAGACATGAATGCATTCTCACCAAAGTAATTCAAAGAAAACAATGTAGAACTGCCTTCGACTTGAGTTTGAACAAATGTCGGCGGTAAAACCTAGAAAGAAAACAAAAGAAACAAATTATTCAGAAGTTTATATAATGGCTGTCGTGTTGAACGATGCAAGTGCAAATCGCCAAAGGAGAGTGAAATTACTTACAGCTTCATTGCAGATTAAGACCAGTAGGAAAAATATGACTGACTAGACTGTAAACATTATCAGTGTTATTTTGATGGTCAACAAAATATCAAACACTAATTGAGCTTACAATAACAGTAACTATTAATGCATCATTGAAAAATGATGAGTAAGAGAACTATGAATAAGTGATAACATTGGTTAGTAGCTTTATTGATCAGATGAATATTAATATATATTATCTAAGTTGTATATATAAACGGGGGTACAATACTAAAATAAAGCAAATAATTAGTGCCTCCAGGTTTTTCAATCATTCTCCTCTAGTTACTATCATAGTTCATAACGTAAACCGACTATAAAAACTAAACTTATCGTCATATATACTTAGATAAAACAATTTGTGGCTAAGAGTATACAGAAACGAGACAACTTTTGTAGCAAAACTAACCTCCACATAACCACGATCTAGGTAATGTGCACGGAAAGCTTCCAAAGCAACGCTGATGAGTCTGAGAACTTTCGATGTCTAAATTAAAAATGAAGTATCAAAATAAAAAATATAAACAGCTTTAAAATAAAAATAATTGACATAAACACCACAGATCTATTCGCGTTTATAATCCGTTTTTACAAACATTAAATATAAAATGTTATTTATTCCTTGATCTCATTGGTTATTTTTAGAGATGCATTTTATGATTCCTTACTTTTACTGGCACCAAATGCCCTTGTACGGTCGAGGGTGATGAGAGTTCACTCTCCCTCTCGAATATAGGTGGCCGACTTGAATATCTAGGCTAGCCGATCCTGCCATTTAGATATATCAACAAGTTATTTGTTTTTTGTGTTTTAACACATAATTCTATATAAGTCGCATAACCTATTTAGGCGCGTTTGTAAAACGTTTACGACCTTTCGGTGTACAGGTTACAAGAAAGTACAATCAGCGACATCATGATTGCCGGCAATATGAATTGAAAAGAATGAACATTAATCGGAAGTTAATTCCTGAACTAGCATTTAACTGGCGATATTCATCGTCAGAATCGACTAAGAAATCAAAAAAAGTAAACTTGTTGAAATACTTGGTGCCGAGAATTCTATATTGTTCCAAAAATATAATACTGAATAAAGTTTATTATTATTACTATTACTATAACTATTAACTATTACTATAACTATTACTATAACTATAACTATTACTATAACTATTAACTATTTACTATAACTATTACTATAACTATTATTATTATTATTATTATTATTATTATTATTATTATTATTATTATTATTATTATTATTATTATTATTGATAGGAGAAACAGTTCAGTTAGCAAAAATACAACCAGAAAGAATTATTTATGCTAAAGAAGATACATTTACTTTTATGAAGAAAGTAAAAGAAAGTTACAGCAGGATTGTCACTGGCTTCTATTCTGAGCCATATCTGATAACGTCTCTAACCACTGTGTTGCACCATCTCTAGGACCCCAGCCAAGGAGTCGTGAAGGACCAACAGAAGCAGCCTTTTGCAGCTTTCTTTCATACCACGACACCATGTCATGCACTGACCACCTTTCCGCTTTTACCAACCAGTCCCAGTGTCGGCAAATAATGCAAAACGTGGGACTCTCTGGGACGACATTCGTAGAACATCTCTAAGCCACCGAAGTTGATGCTTCAAGATAGTGACACCAATTGAACTATTGTCGCTGTGCCCGAACACACGATGCCGAACCTCTGCATTACTAACATGGTGTTTCCATTGGATGTCAGCAATCCTTCGGAGACAACGATTATCAAACACAGAGTCGTTGAGCATCCTTAACTCGGAGAGGCCAGGTTTTACAAGCATAGAGCCAAACTGCTCTCACCGACGCGTTGTAGATCCGAACTTTTACAACCAGGCTAACATCACCAAGGCGCCAAAGATGGCCCAGATTGGCATAAGCCCCTCTGTCTTTCACTATACGTGCATTGATCTCATCACTCACGCCACCACCAGCACTTATGCAGCTACCCAGATACACGAACTTCTCGACTACTTCTATCTGCTCACCATCCAGAGTGAGTACAGGATTAGAATCCTGCCAGTCTTGTAGAAGTACTTTGCACTTCTAGGGTGAAAAGCACATACCATACCTACGGACACTGATTGCCAACTGATTAAGCCGCTCTGGATTTCACCATACGTGAATCGATCTCATCGCTCACGCAGGTAACCAGATACACGAACTTCTCGACTACTTTAAACTTTAAAGGTCCAAAACGCATGTCATACCTACGAACACTGACTACTAACTGATTAAGTGAGGATTGGATGGCTTGGGTTTCATCACACAGTAAGACAATATAATCCACATACTCAACATTGAGAAGTTTTCTCCAGGCAACGTATCCACACCACCATTACCTACACCCATCAGTTATTTCCAGAACGTCATCGATGGCAAAGTTGATGACAGATAGTGAGATTGTGTGACCCTGACTAACCTTACTGCTTGAATGAAACAATGGATAGAGGTGGTTGTATGTCCTCACTCTACCTGAAGTGTTTGTATATAGGGCCTTTAAAATGTTAATCAACTCAGAAACACCCTCCTTCGATAGACAATCCCAGAGAAAAGTCCTGTACAACGAGTCGAAAACGGCTGGCCTGGAATAAGTATGTCAGTGTTCTAAAATTTAGGGGAGATATGATCAGTACATCCTCAACCAAAACTAGCCTGCTCTTAGCGAGTCAATCTTTCCCGTGTTTTGAACACGGGCCAAATGCCCTGGTATGGCCGAGAGTGGGGAGAGTCCGCTCTCCCTCTCGAAATGCTCTCAAATGGCCACGCGTATATAGCCTCTGCCAGGGAAGTCCTACTCACTGCCTTCTCGCACCACGGGTGTTGTTTACGAAAATGAGAGGACGAAAAGCGAATGTCTGGCGCTATAACCAGATCCCAAACCAATGGTGCACATGGGCTCCAGTATCGTAAAGGAACAAATGGCGTATGGACCAATCGTTAGTCACCGGCTACCATGGGACTGCATCTCCTTACGATGCTCCACTGCCTTGTGGATCAGATCTTCAGGTCGAAGGCTCGGAGTGTGACCCCCTAAGGCAACCACCTGCTTCGGTTTGGACCTCCGGGCAGTATCACAGCCCTCGCACATATCAAATGAGATTTATGTGGCGCATATGTATTTGGTGCCTCCCTGTACCAATATCTATGTGTTAAAATAAATAAATAATAAATCACACAAAAACAGAAACTTTGAGGGAACTAAAAAGATCATTAAACACCACTTACATTTTCTCCTCGAATAACCAAATGTCTGTTGTCCAATTGAGTGTCTATATCACTTTCCACGGTTAATACAGAGTCGATACCACCAGCTGGTGCTTTACCAATTATCGTCCAACAATCAGCAACCAATTCTATGCCACCAGGAGCTGACTTACCAGATGGCAATTGTTTCACCACCCCATAAACTTCGACAGTAGACTCTGGTGATAGCGTGATTGCATCTTGAGTTAAACACTTAAAAAGTAGTATGGCAGGAAAAAAATAAATTGTAGGTGGTCTAATTAAAAGCGGTTTAAAAACTATAGGCTAATTATTGATAGAGTAATATAATCTACGAATCAATCTGTATGCCCGGCACTTTGGCCAGGTGGGTGGACACGGAGAATTCACCTAGAGAAGTTGGAAAACCCTGATCCTAAACAAATGGTCTACGAACTTACTGTTGGTCACCGGCTACTATGGTACTACATCTCCTTATGTTGCTCCACTGCCTTGGGGATTGGACCTCAGAGTCAAAGGCTTGGAGAGTGGCCCCTAAGGGGATCATCTGCCTCGGTTTGAGTACCCGGGCACTATCACAGACCTCACACACATCGAATGATGAAGAGTGGCGCATATATATATTTTGTGTCCCATTGTGCAAATGTTTATGTTTAAATAAATAATATGTTTGAATACAAGTTGTATCAGTCCTCGCAAGGTAATTGCTGAAGAAATCTAAGCGACTAATATGATCTCATACCAATGACAGGGACATAAATTATTGAACAACCAGCATTGGTGCCCGACACTCTAGTATGTATTTGTAAGACAATTATTAACAGTGAACGACGTCAAAGGTTTCAAGATAATGCATTGTCGACTGTGATCCTTAATTGACCGTAGAAATTTCAAGTTGAAGCCCGCTATAATAAATTACTCGTTTGAGAAATTATCAAGGAGTCGCAACTGTTTGAGGTTCCAAACTTTGATTGATTTACAATACTTCTCGCAAAAAATACTTTGGCTGTTGTTTAGCACAATATTATTGCATAAGGTTTCAGCAAATATAGCAAGTATGCTTGATGTAACTTTACGGGAATTGAGGGAGGTTGACTATGAATACAGTGGTCTTGAGTGCTGTTAGAGGTATGAGGGCGGTTATCACTTCCCGGTTGCCCACACCGTGGAAGGGTTCTTCTGGAGGTACCTGAAAAGGAAATTGGGTTAGAGGTGGTCTTAGTGACCTGAGAGCGTGACTGCAGTGCCCAAGGGACAGCTGCTTGAGGTCGGTCACACACGACCTTTTTATGAGTAGTTTTAGTGTTAGCTCCGTACTTGTTGAGTCCTTACCGCCGGAGACGGATATCCATGGGATAAGGCGAGGTGTGCATTTTTAGGGTCGACCTTTTCTAACCCCACCCCTCCTTGTGGGAAGGCAGCATCGCTGTCATGCTGGTTGTCTGAAGGAAACACCTTACTGCTGTCACACCTCTGTACAGTCAGCAGTACGACTTCGCCTTCGGACCTTGGTTTGTTGCTTTTAGTCTTACCGCTCTCCAACCGACCTGTCTGGCATGGTAGGACCTTGAGGAACGGTTGTTCCAGCCAGTATAGCTCAGTTGCTTCATCACGATAGGCAAGCCCGACCACCACGTCAAGGTAGCAACAACGGTCAGGGTAACTTTACGGAGAAAGTTTTTACCAGTCAATTTTTTTCCTAGACCCCTCTTATTGAACCAGACTTTCATAACAGATACTGTTTAGGATGAAAACAAAACTAGTCATCTTTGTATTTACTAGGAGATAACAGTTTTTATTCAATAAGACTGACGTAAACCAAGGTGTCGCTAGTTTGTGTCAATGTTTTGCCTTTCCTGGAAGACCAGTCTTCGACTGTAAAAGTTTGCTGATCTTGTATATATCCTGACAGTCTTCTCCACTAACTGCGCCTGTAGCTCTTCTAGGGATAATGTCGGTCCCAAGCCCCGCTAGAGGAAGGTTGAGTGGGACTAGCAACCCCCATCCTAAAAACAACACTGCTAAAAAAACCACTAACCAGAATAAACAAATTAAACCATTTAAATTCTGCGCTGAGCTGAATGATCTTTCAGAACAATTATGACGCATTATGGTAAGAGTCGAGATTTTTCGGAAGTCACGAGGCCGATGATACTTCTAACAACCACAGCAACATTTAATATACGAACATGGAATCTACGCACAATGTGGAAGACCGAGAGGACTAGTTGAACAGCTACGGAAATGAGCAAATACAAATTAAAAGCTCTCGAAATTAGTGAAACCCATTGAATTCAAACTTGACAGAAAAGGAGAGATTCGGGAGAGATGATGCTGTACTCCATTCACGAATAGGAAGATGCCCCACACACTCAGGGAGTTGCTTTGATGCTGTCCAAAGAAGCACAAATGCACATATAGGATGGAAATCTCATGGACCCAGAATCACAAAAAAACATCATTCAAAACAAAGGAGGAGGGAATCACAATGAATGTTACCCAAAGTCATGCACCCACCAATCATAGCAATGACGACGATAAAGATCAGTTCTACGAGAGGTTGCATTCGATCACAAAATGATCTGGCCATCCTGACGGGGGACTTAAACACCAAAGTCGGAATGGACAACAACGGGTATTGAAATATCATGGGACGATATGAGCAGACTGGTAAAAAGGAACGAGAATAGTGAGAGATTAACAAATTTATGTCCATTCAACAAAATGCTTATATGTGGCACAATATTCACCCACAAACGCATACACAAAGTTACATCGGTCTCACCTGATCACACTAGACAGAACCAGATCGATCATATCTGCGTCAATAGAAAGTTCACAAGGTCAATAGACGGCGTGACAATCAGGAGAGGAGCTGACATAACTTCATATCACCACCTGATGGTTGCCAAGATGAAACTGAAGCTAAGGAAGCAATGGACAACTAAAGAAGCAACATTACAAATATTCAATGCAGCCTTAATTCGAGATACTCACAAACTCAAAGAATTCAAGATAGCTCTCAACAACACGTGCCACACATTACAAGATCAACTCAAAGGAGAAGGAACTAGTATGGAGGACAACTGGGAAGGGATCAAAGAAGCACTAACATCAGCGTGTCGGGAAGTTCTGTGCCTTCATAAGCATAATCGTAAGGAATGGATTTTTATCGAAACCCTAGGCAACCAGTGTGGCAGAAGTTTCAACATAAACAAGGGAAAAACCAAGATCCCCAAATACAACACAGAGAACAGTACATACATTTCGAAAATTATCAAAATGCATCACGATGCAAGTGCTCACTTGGAATGCTGAAGGGAAACGAAAAAGAGGAAGGCCGAAGAACACACTGCGTTGGGAATTGGAAGCAGAAATGAAAAGGATCAATAGTAACTACAAAGGATTGCCTAGGGCAGAGTTGGATGGAGGGTGTTGGTAGGCGGTTTATGCTGCTCCACAAGTGGTAACATGCGTAAGTCCTCCTTACTCTTCAGGGCTATTTTTAAGTGAATTTGTTCTTAGAAAACATTAAAAATCACAGCCTGTCTTACAGTTTACTTAGTCTCTTCATGCATCAAATAAGAAGAGACTAGAAGAGATAATTACTAGAGGAAGTTGTCACCTCATGAAAACTAAATACTACCGTTTAGGTAGGATGGGAAAATCCCGAATTCGACAGCTGGGAGAAATCAATTGAAGCTGGATAGTCATATAACACATTAACATGGTTAGCTCAAAACGTGAAAGTAGTCCAAGAAGTCATTGAATTTTGGACAAGGGTGTGTACAGAGTCTTTTGGTAGCACTGAGCAACAATGCCAGAATGTTTGGGATGCGCTTCTCTCCCTCTAAATGCAAGTTGTTGCTTCAGGACTGGTCTGCGTCAACACCTGAACTAAGGATAGGGAGTGAAGTAATCGAACGCGTTGACAACTTCACTTATCTTGGAAGTCTGATCAACCCTAATGGGTTGGTGTCTGACGAAATCTCAGCACGGATTCGAAAAGCTCGTTTGGTCTTTGCCAACTTACGTCATCTATGGCGAAGGCGAGATATCCGTCTATCAATCAAGGGACGAGTATACTGAGCGGCAGTTCGTTCCATTCTACTATACGGCTGCCAAACATGGCTTTTTAGATTAGAAGATACTCGTAAGTTACTAGTATTTGACCACAGGTGCCTTAGAAATATTGCTCGCATCTGCTGGGATTACCGGGTAAGTAATAGTGAGGTTAGACGCAGGGTATTAGGGAATGATGGTAAGTCAGTTGATGAGGTTATGAATCTTCATCGACTGAGATGGTTGGGCCACGTTCTGCGTGTGCCTGAACACTGATTACCACGACGTGCAATGCTGACCAGTGTTGGGGATGGTTGGAAGAAAGTTATGGAAGGCCGAACCAAAACGTGACACCAATGCTTGAAGTCACTAACTTCTGGTCTGAGCCATGTTGGTAGATGCAGACTGCCTGGTTGGGGTCCGCGTGACTATCGTAACCAATGGTTGGAGACTCTTGGTGACATGGCGTCGGTGTATACACTCTCTAACTTCCTTTAAACTAAGAGATTAAGATCGCTCCATATCTTTCTTTCTACGAACTAATTCTTTCTTCCTGTACTATGTCCTTATATGCAATCTTTCTTCTATATATTACCACCACTGAATTAACTACTTCTATGAATCCGGTGTTCATGTTGTTGTGCTAATGCGGTATGGCAACTTGGACCGATGCATATACGTGCCTGGTCCTACGTTGCAGCTGACTGACTGACTGACAGAGTTTACACTTCCTGTATTTATTTATTTGACCACATAAACATTGGTACAAGGTGGCAACAGATACATATGCGCCACACAATGACAATGCCAGTAGTAGTTATCATTGATTTGTGTGAGTTCTGTGTTAGTGCCCGGGTACTCAAACCGAGGCAGACGATCCCCTTAGGGGCCACTCTCCAAGCCTTTGACTCTGAGGTCCAATCCCCAAGGCAGTGGAGCAACATAAGGAGATGTAGTACCATAGTAGCCGGTGACCAACAGAAAGTTCGTAAACCATTTGTTCCCTCGGGAGCCCACTTAAACCATTTGCTTGTGATCAGGGTTTTCCAACTTCCTTAGGTGAATCCTCCATATTCACCATACTTCTGACTTAGATACATGAGACAATACCGATCTATGATCGAACAACTTTAGTGAAATGCTTTGAAATCAATTGCAAATGCATTAATAAACGTCTTATTTCTTGACTTCATTCACTCAAAAATAAAAAGCCTGTCATTGTACAAAACTTACCAGGTTGTTTGAAAAAACACATTGCAAGAACCCAGTACCATCCCGAAGAACAATGAACATTAAAGTTTTACTCTGACGACGTATTCGATGCACCCAACCATACACACGTACACGTTGATCGTATAAAGTTTGCAAATCACGAATTTTACATTGTTTCGCTTCAGGTAATTTTGTGTCCAAAGTCAGCTGAACATCCATTGCTTCACTAAGATTACCGTTTTCAGCAGATGGCTGAGAAAGAAATGCAACAGTATAATAAGAACATCAAAAAGTATGTAAACTGTAATTCACACACAGTACAAGTTTATGTTTTTGGCTTCGAGCCATACTATTTCTGTGAGGCCTATCGACTTTACTAGGATAGGTGGGACTGAATTCAAACTCTTTATCTACTGATTGACAAACCAGTGTTCCAACCAATAGACTACATTTGGAAGCACATGAGACACTGAAGAACAGTTAGCCTTATGTTCTTTATCACAGATGGTACGGAACAAAGTGAACTTTGTGTAGCAACTAAATGAATAGCAGGATAGTGCAAAACGGTAGTAAAGGTTCGTTTAAAAATATCTTTACTTTTATATGACCTCTTTAAGCACCTTTGTAATGTAGATGTATTACTATTCTAAGCAGCATATTTCTTAATTTTCATGTAATTCACTTATCAAGGTTAATATAATAGGCTTCGATCCAAACAATTTATGGAGACTGACTACTACCGAGAGGCCATATTATTTGTTAAGACCGATGTATATGAACAGAGCATTTGAGTGAAGTTGTGCTTTTATTACATCCATCAACAAATGCTATTTGATGTCAAGAGTGAATACATACACAAACTATGTAGGATAGGATTGTCATCACCAGGATGAATAAAGAAACGTAACAAAAGTTTTACATGGGATCCGACTGGTATTTTATCCTTCTGTGGTATTCCAACAGTTTGTTGGTCCACATAGACTGTTTCGCACCGAGTTACTGAAGTGATATACTCGGACAGAATATCCAGTAAGATATTGACTGTCAATATTTATGTCTTTATACACACAAATAAGTCATCATTTTTGCTACATTGTCGATACAATAGTCTGTAACTACAGTTAAAGAAATTCAAGGTATCATTAGTGATCTTAAGCAGCATTTATCTCGAAATTGCTTAGTATGATTGATATATTGTACAACCGCAAGCTTTTAACACCAAAATGATGCACATATTTACCTAAATTTTAAGTTGATTGCTTCAAATTACTCATAACAGGAATTTAAAATGCTGTAGCCACTATGACTAGATTGATAGGTCACAAATGATAATACCTGGGGGGTACAGAACGCATTGATTTGTGTAAATAATAGATTGTGTAGAACCCACCAACACCGGAATACGTAAATATTAAATTACGCGCAAGCGAGACTTACAATTTTTCCCTTTGACACCTTATCATGTTTTCTTTCTTGAATATGATATTGTTTGATCATCTTTTTTAGTTTCGATTTAGATACAGGATCCCACATTTCATTTTCAACACCATCGACCCAAATGCGCGTATCTGCATCAATTTTCCCATCTAACTTGGCGATGGCCTGAAGAATAGTTTTTAGGGGAGCTTTTTCTGTTCCGTCTCCAGTTGTATCGGACCCACGCTTTTCAGAAGTATATATCTGCATAGTGATAATTGTCCCGTTCAAGTCTATTAGGGGTTAAATAAGTCTAAATAATTACATCCAGGAATTATTAAGAGATAAATAGCGTAAGATAAACGTAAGTAATGTTCATCACAACGCGTTAAGATTGCTAGATGATAAATGTTTCATTAGACTGAACATATTTGATATGGGATGATGCAAATAAGACTCCACAAAAAAGGCGATATCCAGTTGTTTCGTTAAGAATTTCATTTTGGTAATATTAAAGGGCATTTGGTCAATATCAGGATCTAGCAGAAGATCCCGACTTAGCTATTTGAAGTTATATGCTACTGTAACGATGTAAATGGAATACTAGGCTCCAGGAAGAGGCTTTTAGCTACCGTCAGTCTTCTAGTTAACCTACACTTAAGCTCCACGTGTTTGTGCTAATGATCTCTCAGTCCACACTGTTCTGTCCTGTCTTTTTTATGAGACAGAACGACTGCTCAATTCAGTGGGCATAAGCCTAGCAAACACATTAAATAGGCCCAAAAAGTGAAAACGATGTCGCAAAGTTCTTATTCTAAGTGCAATTTACTGAGAGTTAAGGGGTTTAATGGGCAAAAAGTAACTCTTGTAAAACTCTATTTAACGTACCAGGAGTTCAGATTGTTGGCCAAATTTACCAACTGAGGTTGGTCGTCCAAGTTAACTGCCGAAGATTTATTACCTACAATTAGGTTTATTTCACTATCCACTGCTAACTTTAACTACAAGTCTGTGAGACAATGTGATATCCATCAACGGTCTAAATACAACTGTTGATTATTACCTACTAAATTTAAGTGTCAAATTACTAGTGTTTGGTATGCAATCTACTCAGTCTTATTAACTATATATTTTTAACCATAAGTTGTGATTTCTTGTCCTCATAACTATGATTGAAAACTTGCTATTCATACTGATTGTAAACCAACAACTACTGACGGATACATCAAAACAGCTGAAATATACCCTAGTTGCAACATATCACCAGAACAGCAAGAAATCAATGGGAAAGCAAAGCATCTAAGACTGATGCTAGGAAACTTGAAGTACGAATGAGGGTGTACTGACACATTTACGTAAAGTGCGGATATGTCGGCTTTGTATTCTTATAGCAGGTACTAGATAGGGGGCCAGTGAAAACCAGGAAGCACAGAACACGTGTCTTGTGACTTCGGAATGTAAATCCTGTACTTCACCAGAGGTCGAACCTGATACTTTCAGGTTCTAGGGTGAGGTCTGAACCTTCAGATCGTCAATTCGAGATTTAGTGGTTATTTTGTGTTATCAAAACCACGAAATTCAATAAACTACACAACCCCCTATCCCGTCAAATTTAATTTCTTAGCTCCTAAGGAATTACACTAGTACTAGTGTAATGTCTGGATTTCAGTTAAGACAAACATCTCCGCCGATGGGAATCAGATCTGAGGTAGCTTGCACGAAGCCTGAAATGATATTGCATGGAGATTGGGTGAGCGCAGCATTGTACGAGGCTTCATAGACGTGTATAAAATGTCGAATCGAAAACAAGAGAGCGGACAACTCAGTAAAATATTGGATGCACTTACACGAAATAAAAAGTGTAATCGACAATAAATAACAGTGATGAAGGTATGATGTGAAGGCAATCCGGTAGCCGATAGCACAGTGTCAGCCAGAATTTGAACGCGTCAAACAACTTCAAACCTCCGCTCGAAATCTAATATCACAACCATACTAAATCCAATGTCAAAATGAACTCAAACATTAGTGGTGTTTCAAAAATATTACATTGGAACCATCAGGAATTAAAGATGGGAACTTTCATCAACCCCAGTAAAAGAAATCCAGGTTCTGAGATAACAAGAGTTCAGGTTAGGTGAAGAAGTTTTGAATATTTTTTGCTTAAAGAACGTAACAAGCTGATAGTTTAAGAGATAGTTGATAAAGACCTGGTTGATGGATAATACTGGCTATTTCTATATTTTTCAGATCTGATACAATGTGCCCATTTCCTATTACTGGCTGTTAAGCAGTTAAACTTCAGAATTGCTTGTCAGAATTGGCGGAATGATCGTTACTTTCTGACCAACGTTTTGGTAGTAAGAGAGCTTACTTGGTTACAAAGAGATATAACTGCTGTTCCATCCTTTCTAAAAACTAGGCAGCGAAAATGTTTATTTAATAGTATCGAAGACTAACAAAATAAAAGTGATCCCTGAGCCTACTTTGATAGATTTAGGGGAGAATTCCACTACAATAAAATGCGACAAGGAAACTTATTACTTACTAATTTTAAAAGCGAATAATTATCGGCTCGAATAGACTACTAATAATGCCTGTGTGCAGTGGGTGAGAACTTATTTACTTCTGTACTGGTCGTTTGAGTCTTCCTAGTGATGTTTAGGACTACAATTGCACAAACTAGTGACTGTTTAATCTCAGTTCCTAAGCGGATAACGCGATGGAGTTTGAAGCGAACAGTAGTGGGTTCGGGTCCGTCAGTGAGAATCAATTTTGTGATGCAGGTACATCCAGGTGACGAGTTTCAAACAGAATGAAACGCGCGTCCTGGACTCCACGGCTAGCCACCATCCATCCCTACTCATAATGGATGAGAAAAAGTTGTTTTAAGGCGATAATAATTACTTCGATGCTTGGTGATCAGATTAAATTGGGTTATATTAACCATGAATCGGTTGCTAATTGTTTGCAATTCTTCCCAGTTGATATTCATCCCTTTCATATCTGCTTCCAATTCCCAACATAGTGTGTTCTTCGACCTTCCTCTTTTTCGTTTCTCTTCAGCATTCCAAGTGAGCACTTGCCTCGTGGTGCATTTTGGTGATTTTCGAATTGTATGTCCTATCCACCTCCACGTCTATTCCTAATATCCTCTTCAACTGAAAGCTGGTTTATTCTCCCCCGCTGTAGGCTGGTGCTGATGGTATCCAGTCAACGGACACTGAGTATCTTTCATACACAATTGTTTATAAATACTTGTACTCTCTTGATGATGGTTTTAGTGGTCCACCGAGTTTCAGCTCCGTACAGTAGAACTGTGTTGACGTTCGTATTGAAGATTGTGACTTTGATGTTGGTTGACAGACAGTTGTTTTAAGTTCCATGTGTTCTTCAACTGTACGAATCCTGTCCTCGATTTCCCGATTCTTGCCTTTACGTCTGCATCGTATCCTCTTTGTTCAAAGATAATAATGTTGAACAGGTACGTGAAAGTTTCCATATATCTGACCAGCTTAGAACTAAAAATTTATCTAAACAAATTTCTAAGGAATCAAGTTATTTTGAGTTTCATATGTTCTACAACTGTAGGAATGCTACCGTTGCTTTGCCAATCCTTGCCACTACGTCTGCATCTGATCCTCCTTGTTCATTGATGATGTTGTGCAGGTATGTGAAAGCTTCTACTTGTTCCAGAGTTTCTCTATCAAGTGCGATTTGGTCGGTGTTCTCCGTTTTGTATTCGAGGATCTTGGTTTTTTCCTTGTGTACAGCAATTATTATAACCAGATTACCTGTCTTGGTTTACTCGAAATGCACAATCAAACAATAAACAACCCATTGTTTAGAGATCCGGGTAGTTCCGTTTTAAATTATATACTACGATATATTACAGTGCTTTATTGCATTATAATGAGATATGTTATGTCAAATCCTCAGTATTTGGGCCTCAAAATTCAAAATGCATAATAACGGAATGCCAAAATGCGAACTCGAATTTTATTGTCATAATTACAGATCAAGCATTTTCAGACCGTGAGTAAAACAAATGTATCGAAGTTAGGTCAACATGGTGTTGTTCACTAAATTATTTGTTAGTAAGGTAGATATTTCAAGTATGTTTGTATCCTGCTGATTCAAATCCAACTATCATGAACGTACAAATATGCTATAAAGATAAACCTTCCATCTAACTCAGTATAATGCCTAGACTAAACATGTTTGTATGACGGCGCTAATAATAAGCCAAGTACGAGCTGTAATGTAGGAATTTATTTCAAGTATTTGTTTGTCCAGACAGACGTTCGGAATAGTTATCGAGAAACGAAGCGGAGTGAATAATACGAGGGAGCCAACTTAATTTGATCAAGTGTGAATCGACATTTATAGTGAGATAAAAATGAGTTACAGATATGTGGCAAGAAGGATATGGATGCTCATAATAAAACAGTCAAGGTTAACAAGCGAATAATTAACAGGGTCGAAATGTGACTGGAAGCCAGAATAACCAATGCGAGCTTGACGTGGTAACACACACTTCCGTTTTTCCCACTACGTCACTCAAAAAATGGATGTCCAAAGGTTTCAACTGTATTACATGTTTCTTACAAAACTAAACCAATTTTTTCTCCCGAGGACAATTCAGTGTATGTGTCAACCAGTAACGATATGAAATACATTCACTTGATATGTCATCCTCTGAAGTCGAAAATGTGCGTAACGAGAAAGTAAAACTATAATAAACCATACAACCGACAACAAACATTTGAAAATTATTTAAAAATTGTAAACAGTATAGTCGTGCGAAAAGCTAGAGGACGAAAGAGGACATAAAGTGAACATATGCCCGGGTCACAATGAAAGAAACGACGCATCGAAAGAAAGCCAAAGTGGAAGTCATGAAGAGAACGAACATGGAGAAATTTCCTCTTATATTCACACAAGAAACATCCGAATTCGGTTTCATCAATACATTAATAATGAATGTGCAGCGCAAATTTAAAAAATATAAAAATGATCACTAACGGAAATATCGAAGGAATACTTGATTAGTTGTGGTACATTCGACGCTTGTTTCGAGGTTGATGATTTTTAAACAACAGATGTTCGGGCATCAACTACTGGTCGTAGGTCAGTGGATGGGCATCTCTAGGTAGTTCCATACCAGAACAAACTGACCGTCCAGTGCCCTCAGGTTTTCAGTGGTTGTCTAACTTTGATCGACTTAGGGTGTCTACAAATGCATGTGTTTGTCCTTGGGCTATGGGGTCGCTAAAACCAGTAACTATCTAATTAAAGTTGTAAAATCCATAGGATTTGAATAAAACTCGAGGTAGAGAAAAGTACGTTTCAAGTGAGACAAGTAAGCGAATCAATTAACTGAATAAACATCATGACTATGTAGATGAATATACAAAACCGGGAAGTAAAGGGAACTAATAAGAACTAAAGATAGATAGGACCAGTAATTAGATTCCGATTCCAATGTTTACTGATATAGATGTAGATAAACTTGGATGACTTATAGATGCGAACGACTGAAGTACTGGAAGTCGACCGAATATTCTTAACAATAATAATAATATATTCTCAAATAACAGTCTGTTACATGAGGCATGCCAGTTTACAGGCAAAATCAAATTATTACAGAAGATACAGTCTTCACCGTGCTGGGTTACTCAGTTAGGTTGATATTTTATAGGGTACATTGGTCATGGAATTATGGGGAATAACACCTCTTTCAGATGAATGTAAATAATATTAGCGAGACTCGCATTGTCAATACGACAGTTGGCGCTCTTTATGGAGGTTGCGTTGGAACGTGAAAATAATGGTCGAGAATAAATCCACGTAAAGTTGAGAGCCCCTAGAAAACGCGATCTTATACCCCTCTGGAACATCTGAGGCATAAATGATGGCGCGGAACAAAGTCACCTGTTCCATATGTATTTTCGGTGGCATATCACAAGAGGAATGAGAAGTAGGGTAAGAAAAATAAATGACGAAAAACAGAGCAGATAGCAAATCAAAGGATATGAAAAAGTTTTCAATTGCAAGTTTTCAGAATAACAAAACAGAACATTGAAGTATTAACAAGAATTTAATATATTATGGGCTTCCTGTGATCGACGACAGTTGATCAGCATCCGTAAGATTGGTGCGTAATCTGTCTAATTGTAACATAAATAAACGTGACACTTAAAAAAATAATGCAACTCTAACCATCTGAGAGATTCGGAATCTGAATGTGAGAAGTTGAAGCATAAGGGCTTGTTTAACAATTAATGAATAATGAAAGAGGGTAAGTCATGTGTTCTATCATGTTTTATAATCATATTAATGACGATGAGGTCCGTTATATTGATGATCGTCCCAGATATTAGGCGGTCCATAATACAATACCTCATTTGTGAATTGTAGTTCACGGAATAGTTGATGAAGCTCTTTAGAGTCTAGTGAACTTGGTGATAGTGTCACAGTTACAGATAAGTATTGGTAACCTGTTCGATAGTAAACTTAAAAGCACCATAAAATAAACTACAAAGCATCGTGTTCTGATGTTTTACAGCAAGTACTGTATATGTGTTGTTTCCGAGTTTGTAGACTAGGTGGCGGATCATGGTTGAGCAGGAGGTTAGAAATGAGAGTCCATACATTGCTTTATGGAGAAATATTAGATTATTCCTTAGTCAACGGTGCCATAAACGTGCTAAACAGAGGTGCTTACATCTATTTGTGTAGTCGAGAGTGGAGCCACATCCTAGCAGTTGGTGTGTGAAACGTCTTTGAACACGTTCTCCTCTCATCTTCTCTGTTATATTCAAGAAGACAAAACAGCAACATTCAGGGGAGGGTTGTATACGTATTGTGTAAAGAGTATGCGTATCGTAATCTATTCTCAAACAACAGTCTGTTATATGAGGCATGCCATTTTACAGTCAATATCAGATTGTTACAGAAGATACAGTCTTCAGTATAGT